TATTTGAACTTTTTCTCAGATTTATTCAAAGGAACAATGTCTTGAAAGTTTTGTGAATCGAAAACAAATGATTAAGTCTTAGATGAGATACGTTCTACCTATCAAAAAAAAATTTTCACGTTTAGAATGTAATATATGTAAGTTGTTATGCATACTGCTTATCTCAACAAATGCTCAGATTTTTTTTCTTTGTTGAAATCAATAGAAATTTTTTTATGAAACTAATCACAATAAAACATAGAATTTTATTTAATTTTTATGTTTGAATGTTAGCTTCAAGAAGAGTTAACATACAAGTTATCAGGTGTAATCGTTCATGGGAGCAATTACAAATAGTCAATGACCTTCTGTAAGATTGCTGGTGACTTCTCACTAGTCAACAGAGTCCACCGAGGGGTAAAGTTGCGGAACACTGGTAGTTCAGTCCGAGTTTTGAACCTTGCGGACAGGCTGGCTGAATGGACGTTTTTGTGGTTTTTCCATGTGTAAGTTGTATATGAGCCAGTTCTCTTAGAAAATCTTCCGCGAAGGCATCCCTCCCCTCAGGCAGATAGCCCTCAAGGCTTTGCCGTACTCACATGCACCAACCAAACCAAACTCACTAATCAGCATGATGTTCAGTAACAATAAGAATAAGGATAAAGGTTGAAACCTTTTATTCAAAAGAACTGTTTACAAGAGTACACCTCGTGCTTAAAATATAGATCACTGCTTGTGGTGTTATGTTACGTAGAAATGAAGGGACCACCTAATATACTAACTCTTATCACTGCTTGTGGTGTTATGTTACATAGAAATGAAGGGACCACCTAATACAACTCTTAGAAGTCAACGTAGACATTAGCTCTACACACTGACTAGAAAACCAACAACCCTCCGGCATCCTCGAGTCATTATGAAATTGGGACTCCAGCCAACATTGCAAGCTCTGCCACCACCGGGCATTAAAATAAATCAAGTAAAATGCATTATATTAGATGGTATACCTAGTTGTACAGGTGCATGTTTTATGGTGTTATTTTTTGTAATGGGTACAGGCATCATGTTTCAGTACTCCAGTAGATAAAGGCGTGATAAAGATGATAAATGCAGGATGTAGATCAGTGTTTCACAATCGATGGTCCGCAAGATATATTTGCCAGTCCGCAAAATATCCAGCTATCTGTCCAAAAATTGTGCTAATGGGTTGAATTATTAAACTTACCGGTCCGTGAGAACATACCGAAATATTTTATCGGTCCATGGAGTTAATCCAACTGAGAAACACTGATGTAGATGATGTTCTTTTAGGGCGTGTTTGCAAACATGATCTGTTTACATCAGTGTTTACTATCAAAATTAATTTATCACTATAAAATTGTTTACAAAGCATCATTCTGCATATTTTTATACTTACAGCTTTCGTTTAAATATTGTTGTATAAATGTGCTGATACAAAATATTCGACATCGTGTCAGACAAGTGGTTAACTTAATTTGATTGGCTTATGAAGAGAGACAACTTTAAGGGAGAATGTGAATTATGTTAGAAAATGGTTAATATTAAGTACGAGGGTGTTAGATTTATAACTGTACATTACCAAAGCAAGAAACTTCAATCCTTAACATTGAATAGGGATTCTTTGCAATTGGTTTCGAACTTTTTCGTAAAGAAATCCTCAAAAGAAAAGGACAATATATCAACAACTGAAATTACTTCAGTCTATCATAGCATTAAGCACCATCACACTTTTAATAGCCAGGATTGCACAAACAAATTATATAGCACTCTATTTCTAGATTCTTCTTTGGCAAAATGATTTCTTGTGGTAGAACGAAATGTACAAGTATTTGCGAGAGTGTGCGTGCTCCTGCAGCTCAAGAAATACTTTTAAATGAGATTCAGGAGGCGTAGTTTTTTTAAGTTGCGACTGCAAAGAAACCTATTTTCTTCTCCCAGAAACTTTTTTTCTCTCCCTGATTTTGACAGTCAAGAGGTGGCAACACTATTTACAACCCTTGAAACTCTACATGAAGCTACGACACTAACTGTATCAGGCAGAGCCCAACTAACTTCCAAAATTTCCCAACCGTGCCCACATCAGGCCTTTCAGTTTTGTTCTGATCATCAGGTCTCTCTCTCTAGGCAAGGAGCAGCAGTAACAACAGCCAGTCTTTTGTTATAAATCATTCTGATTATGATTTTACATCTCATTTTAACCTATGCCGCTTGACATAAAAATCTACCTGCTATTTACTAAACCTTTAGATTGAGCAAGTATGTGACAAGATGAGACATAAAACAATATCAACATGAAACTAACTACTAGTAAAACGTAAATAAAGTGTCACTTATCTTCTCTCAAATATGCCGAACTATTTATTATAAGTGTATAATATTTAATGCTATTTGATAAATTGCATGAAGTATATTTTACTCTCAAACTTATTAATAATTATATTGATTAAGTGATATTTAATAATAATGCATCCTAATTACGGATATATTTTATTTTTTTGGATGGTATTATGAAAGTGAAGTTCAGGCAGAGATAATATTTTTAATTGAATTTATTAATTTGCTATTTGCTCATAGGTCCTTAATTTTTTTAATTAATTGTCCTTAAAAGCATTTAATTTTCATGTGCAGAAATGTGTACAAACTCTGAATTAGTTTTTAATAGACTGAATGTACAGATAATTTAATTTGTCACACTTCTCTATACTAATTTTTGTTATATAAAACTTTGGATTATGTGCATGTTTTTTGAAAATAAAAGTTAACACACAAATTTTAAAAAAATTATGTTTAAAATTTGATGCTGAATTCTAAAACGTTTATTTGGTAGCCAGACCTAATAAACCTAAGAGATCAAATTGGAAGTGTACCTTACTTGTTCTTACTAACTTCTGCTTAATGAATTATTCTTAGAAAAACTGGTGAAACATTTCATGCTAGAAAGCAAGATGTTAGAAACTTTTGAACTCATTCAATAAGGGAAAGAATTATTCATTATAATTATGCATTTTTTCTACTTGATCGCCAACACACAGGGTTTAAAAGAAATACCTCCTACAAGTTATGTGGCCACTATTTCTGTGTTGTCAGAATATGAAATTCGTACGGGGAGAACAATGCATTTTGAGGTGAAGAAAATGTCCTTAATTTGATAGTTCTTCTAAATAATACATTTTTAAATGTCCCCCCTCCTTAATTTAGGACAATGATTCTCAACCTTTTTTGTTGGGGCACACTTTTAGCAATTTCAAAATTTGGCGGCACACAAAGGAAAAGATAAGTTGTTTACTTACCTATAATACACTGTGTAAAACATTTTTATAATACTAATTTTGAATGTAAAATAAAATAATATGTACTACCAAAAACAGCAGTACTTTTATTAAGGGATTAATTAATTACAATTTAATAATAAGAATACTTTTAATGTGAAATTTGAGCTTGATATTTTTGATAATTTCATTTATATTTGTTTGTGAAAATGACAATGCTACTCTCATATCGTTTTCTACATTTAACAGTCTTGATATTTTTCGCTTTTATGTTGATTAATACTGAAAATCCGAATTCAAACAAAACGTAGAAAACTGTAATAATATTTTTAAAGCATTTTTGGCTATCATGGGATAATCGCATTTAATGTTAATCCAAAATAAATTAATTGATTCTTCCGAATATTTTAAAATTAAATCTCGATTATCAGACAGCGAAATTAGTTCCTCATCATCATTTAAAGTTAATTCAAATACAGAATGTCTTCGGTACCGAAATCGGCTTGGATACCACAATTGGCACGCTTATAAATGTCTTAAAAATCGAATTTCGCCAGTTTCCATGTGTACCGTATATTAGGATTAAACCCATTATACAGTTATGGCCAAAATTGTGGACACTTTTGGAAATTTTTATGTTTTTGAACTTTGTATGCTTATAGAAAATGTTACGTTTCACAAAATGCAAACTTGTATATATCATTTTAAAGAGAATTTATTACTGAATTCATTACAAAACACAAAATTCAATTATTTGCGATACAAAAAAAAAAAAGTTAAACGATAATAGTTATCGATATACATTAGATAGTGATGATTGCAGTGAGTTATCAGTACTTAATAGGGTACCCTTTATTTTTTATTACAGCTTCACATCGACGTTTCATTGAGCTGACAAGAGTTTTAAGCTCTTCTTTTGTTATTACATGATGCCAGGAACAATTATAGCCTCAATTAGTTCCCTTTTATTTGATGGGCTCCTCATTCGGACAAGAGTTTTCAAACGGTGCCACAAAATTTCGATAGGATTGAGGTCAGGACTGTTTCCTGGCCATGACAACAATTTAATGCTCTTTGTAACGAAGCATTGTTGGGAAAGAGATCTCTGATGGAAGGTAGAAGTTTTGGTTCTAGAATAGTGTCAATGTATTTTCTGGCATTCAGTGTCCCATCGATGACATGAAGGCAACCAATACCATCTGCTGACATGCATGACCAAATCATAACACTAACTAGGTTCTTCACAGTTGCTTGAATGCAGTCAGGATGTAGCTCTTCTCCTATTCTATTTATATTTATTTCTACTATTATTCCTACTCTATTTATATTCATATATACATAAAGTGTATGGATGGTGGACACTTTCTTCATTAATTCTGTAAAATGTTGGCAGGTATTTAGTTATTTGGTTTTGCATATAACTTATGTGAATTAAATGTATAAATATTTTTTATGCATAATTTTTTTTTTCAGTCTGCTCAATAAATCTAAAAAGCATTACGTCCATTTAACTTTAACTGACTATATGTGCACTTTTTCATAATTTATTTTACAGTTACTATACATTTATTATAATTAATTTTACAACGCAAGTTCATATGTATTCTGAGGATTTGAGTCGATTGTAATACCAAATAAAAAATTATTACAACTGTATTAACTATAAATGTTAATAAATATATGAGCTTTGTTATTTTTCAGAAGTTAATTGTTTATTTGTTTACTTATTAGGTGTTACATAGTACTTGGGATTATTGCCTAGGTGGCAGAGACATAGATAACTGTATGGTTCGTTACTTCAGCCAAGAATTCAAAACTAAGTATAATTTGGATGTCTTATCAAATAATCGTGCTATAGTTCGTTTATTACAAGAATGTGAGAAGTTAAAAAAGCAGCTAAGTGCTAATCCACAGGTACTTCCATTAAGTATTGAATGTTTCATGGAAGATAAAGATGTCTGTAGTTCTTTAGGCAGGTATGCTGTTATTGTCCTCTTTTAAGTTTCTATGTTTCATTTTCTTACTATATTTGCTTTTTAACAAACAGGGCTGTGGAGTCAGTAGGGAAAATGACCGATTCCTGGAATTTTAGACTTCGACTCCCTCATATACATATATGTAAACATATACACACGGGTTACAGCTTATTTTTTTTTAATATAAAAGAAGTAATAGATGCTACAGAAAAAAAATTGATGGCTTAGCAAATTATTTATATTAATTAGCTTTTATTATGAAGTGGAAAAGCTGGCATTAGTTATTTCTAAGAAATAGTATAGCTTCGACAGGATCTTCTTTGTTGGAGGACCACAGATCCAATTTGTTCTAAAAGTTATATAAGTTCTAAAAGAGATGTCTTGAAAGTGCAATCATATTTTTCTATTTCTTCAAAAGCCAGCCGTGTAGAAATCCTGTTTTTATTTTTTCATTTTTATATCTAAAGACTCTTGGTTCTTTATATTCATTCGTTTTGTTTTAGCCTTTTCAATATTATCCCAAAATATTTCTCAAAATCTAATTCATCACTGGAAGAGGATGATAGAGACTCAAATGCAATGTCTGCAGTCTGACTGTTCCTGATTCGAATTCTCTAATTGTTCTGAGAATAATTTCATTCTTAATGAAAGTTCATAGATGGCTTTCTTTGCCTTTTTAATTTGTTCGTCATCCAAGAAAATTAAGTATTTCGGATCTACATATATTGAACCCAGCAAGGTCTCATTGAATAGCAAACTAGTTTCTCTTTTCTTCATAGAAGAAATGATTCCTTCTGCAACAAACCCTCCATTTCAGAAAGAACAAACATCCCATTCTTCCATTCTCACCTCCTGCCAATTCTTCAGATTGCAGCTTTTTTGTGGTTATTAACGGTGTAGAAAGAAGAGTTCCCAATTCTGCAAGATCATTCCACAGTCTTTCTGTTAGTGAAATATTAGGGTTATCTACATCTCCTAAGAAGTTCTTAATTCTAAAAACCTCTTTATCATCAAATATGTACTTCTTTATCGCGTTGCTTCATCAATGGTTGCTCCTTCTCGTGCTCGCATCCTAAGAATGGCATCAGTTTTGGGAGTTCTTACTGCTTACTTAAATTTACTAGTGAAATTTGTACCTAAATGAATCAGTTTAATCACTAATGGCAAATATCACTTCCATCCATCCTCCTCCCTTATACAGTCAAAAGTCGTTAAAAATAATAAGCCGGATCCAATTCGAAGATTAAGGAACAATGCAATCTGCAACATTAACTGAAATAGGTGGTGTGGTGTATTTAATTATGGCAAAGCACACTAGGGCTATCTGCCTAAGGGGAGGGATGCCTTTCGTGGAGGACTTTCTAAGGGAAACTGGCTCGTATACACGTTACACATGGGAAAAACCACGAAAACGCCCATGCAGCCAACCCGTTGTGGGATTCGAACCTCGGACCGAACTACCAGTGTTCAGCGACTTTACCGCTCGGCCGCTGGTGGGCTAACTGAAATAGATAATTAGATAATTTTAGCTTAGCTTATACCGTCCGTTATACATAAAACACGCATGCGTAAAAGTATTACGCGCATGCATGAAAACGCATGCGCAGAAAGTTTGTAGCTTTGAGGTCCGGATTAACGACATTTGACTGTATTTATTTATTAATATGTCAATAAAATAGAAAATAACTATTAATGTATATAGTCCATGAATAAAAACAATAACTCAGCTTGTCATTAATTTGTTTTTCAATTCATTTTAATTTCATTTCAAATTCAAACTGTCCAACAAAAACTGGAGTAGGGGTCGACCTGTTTTTAGCGACTCCAGCTCTGACTGCTTTTACCCCAAAATCTGCCCATCGTTTTCATGTGCTTCAGTACATCAGATTTAGAAATTTTATCCTTCCACGATAAAATTTTGTAGTGCAAATGAAAGTTAATTATTTTTCATGTTCTGTTTCTTTAAACCAGGTAAAGTATCAGAATATTTTTGTATACTTTGCAAAATTTAGCTCTTTTAAAAACATGGTTATTTTTTAAGAGGTTTAAAATACAGAAAATGTTGTTTATTTTAATATTGTTTATATTTTTAGTGTATATAATAAATAGCATACTCATTTAATGTTTAAAATAACTTAATATTTAAAGTTAAATTTAATGTTATTTTGTTTTCAGAAATAAATTTGTTCTCAAGATGGTTTGAAGACATTTTTGTGGTTGTAAAATGTCAACAATTTTCAAATACTAAATGAATTTTTACTCAGTGTTTATTTATTATTCCTATTTAATAATTTTTTTCTCCTTCTGTGTACCTTTACCCAAAACAAATTACATCTTAGCTTGCTAAATGTTTTGAAATCCAGTATTTTTTAAAATTTCTACTGAAAACCACAGATTTTTAAGACACTGTGAGACTTTTATTAATTAATAAAAAAATCTAGCTCTTTAAGTATGTATAATCAAAATAATGGAATAACAACATTACTTAATTTTTTTTTTTTTTTTTTTTTTTTTTTTTTAAGTTATATTTGATTCATGTGTGTTTTTTTATGTTTGATTCAAATATTTTCTGTAATACTAATGTTTCAAGAAACCTGATAAAAGCATAGGGAAAAAATTTCCCAGAAATTTATATAAAACTAATGACTTATATTATTAAATGGATTTCGAATTTTCCTATGACCACTTAGATGGGCATTAAGAGAAATAAGCAGCTTTAAATAAAATCATCGTTCCACTTGATGGGGAAGGAGGCTTTTACTAAAATTTATTTAGATATAGAACTTTTTAAAAAATAATCAGGATACCTAAGATTTCCTTCAGAAGTATCCTGCTTTTATTTTCTTACTTTAGAATAGTAAAATTTCTTCAGTTATACTGATTTTCAAAAATCTTACTTCAGATTTTGGGAATCATTATTTCTCTTTCATTGTCAACACTTAAAACTTTATTAACAGTATTTTCTTTTTATGCAGTTCATTTAATAAAACTGACAGGTGGTAATGTAAAACTGCTATATCTGCAAAGTATGAGATTAAGGGAGAAAATATAGTAATAATTACATAAAAAGCAGGTACTTATGGCAGAACTTGGTGTTTATAAAGTTTGCAAAATTTTTATGCCTCTTCTGCAGTTTGGTGTAGTATTTATTTCAAAACATGGTAAATATGCAGAGAATCAAAGCATAAAAACCTTCTGATGGCCAAAAAAGAATCAGTTAAATTAATTTATGCTTGTATTTTACTTGTATTTCTATTTTTTATCAAAAAGGAAGAAAAAGATAATGCCAATTAATTCTTTCATAGGCTGAGCAGAGTACCTGATATATTAATATAAAAAGTACACTAGTTTCCAAAGGTTAATCTTGCAACAGTTAAAAAAAAAAAAATAATAAAGCTTTAATTAGCGCCAAACTGCCCATGATGGTAGCAAATATGTTTTATGTTTATCTTATGTTGAGAAAAAACAACCATTATGTACAAAATTCAAAATAGTACTTCACTTTTGTAAGTTATATAATGATGTTACATTTCTTTCAGTATGAAATTGATGTTTAAAACTAAAAACAAACAAAACTTACATTAATATGGTGTATTATCTCCTCGGACCTTTACACAAACTTCACAATGATTGCCAATGCTTTCAGTTAAGTGATGCATTATCTTTGATGCAATAGTACCCATTTCTCCACCAGAACAGTTTCCAACTGTCCGTTTCTGGTTGGAAAGACAGAATGTCCAAGGGAATCCCTAACACTTTTGATGCAATTAAGGTTGAGGGAATACGCAGTCACTTAATACAAAATATACTGCCTCTCTCCAGAAGCTCATTAACAAGATTAGATTGATGAGGATGAGCATTATGGTCCAAAAGGAGAAAATCTGGACTAACTGCTGCAACACAGTATAATGGGCGTAGCCTTCACAGATCCATCTTTAAAGATGTGCCATTGTTTGCAATATCCAGTTGAAATTCCAAACCATACCATGATACTGCCACCTCAGAATGTAGGATATTCTAAGCTTAATTCCATGTACCTCGTTGTCTGCAGATCCTTATGTGCTTACCATCTGATTTCAGGCCAAATGTGAATTTGTCCATAAGAGACAGTCCAATTGAGATGATGATGACACACTTTAATACTCACTCCTCTGAATTGGGCAGTTATTTGAACGCAGACTCTTAATTGCCAAGTGTATAGTCCCCTCATCTAAAGTTGTTGGTACCTAATATTGGTAGATATTGTCTTACCAACTGATGCTGCAGCCATGGATGTAACAAGTGAAATTGATAAGCGAAGTCATTCATCAATTCTACTTGTCTAGGAAAGCCTTGGTTAACTGAAACTGGTCTCCGGACAATTATTCGGACATGTTTCCTCATTCCAGAAATTACCATATAATCAATGCCAAAGAAAAAAGCGATATCTTTGTATGACTGTCCTTTAGTGCGTTCGACAACACGCGAGTGCTCACTATCTGCCATTTGTGTTCTTTAAGCCATAGAAATACAAATACAATCAAAAATTAACCTGCAGGAGTTACAAATACTTTGTATCAGAACTTAAATCATCCTCCTTAAACCCTTCAGAATGTTGATGTCTCTAGTGACTGTCCTAGGAGATGTTTAGACAGTTACTTGTGATCGGCTGCAACATACAGTATTTGTAGACTGCCCTCTGTATCCACAGTGAATTTCAACCGCTCAAATTCAACTACGCTTTCAGAAATTGCTAACTGGCATTATGTACTTAACTTTTCAAGGTTATTTGGTGACTAACAACTTTTCAGTGTTATTTAGTGACTAACTTTTGAAAATTTTGAATTGATTTTTAGATATAGTGTACATGGCATACAGATTTATATATTGCATTCAAAATGAGTGATTCTCTTTAACTAGGGAGAAATTGGAAGAGCTTTGTACTAGCATTCTGGTCAGAATAGAAACAGTCTTTAGGAAGCTGTTAAATGAATCAAGTTTGTATTTTAGTTTTATATATTTTGTAATATTATAAATTAAAATATTTGAATGCACTTAAGTATATGTTAAGATGGTAGTTTGAAGCTATTATTTATTGAGAGGCTTATTTTGTTTCAATTGATAGCCGATCTTTGTTCAGCAATTATGATGATTTTTTTAGTTAAAATTCAAAATTTGAAGTTTAAGAAATGAGTAATGCAAAAATAATAAAATATTGTTATAAATTAAATTGAAAATTATTATAAGTTTTCTTTCATAAGATTTAAGCTTCTAAAAATAAATTTGTTGTAACTTTTGACTCAGGTTAATTTTCATAGAGGTGATATGAGTATCACTGATAAAACTTTTTACAGAATTCAGAAAAACTAAATTTGTGTTCTGATTTTTTACAAAACTTATGAAGTGTTCCAACAATTTATAGCTGCAGTCAAATCTTAAGGGTAAGCAAAGCTGGATGTTATTTTTACCTTTCATAGTTTTATATTAATACTGATTCTCAACATTAATAAAGGTGTAAAGAAGAAAGACATTGCCATAAAATTTGTTGTTTTACAAAATTTATATATATATAATATATATTGTCATGTAACAAGATAAAAATTTAAAGAAATCATGGAAATATATAAGCCTAATATATCTTCAATGCTGACAATGTGAAACTGTAGCCTCTGTATCAAGGGGTGGCAAAAAATGTTCAGCTGCATTATTGCAAAAATATTTTACAAAAGGTCCTAATGGGATTTGAAAGCAATCAACCTTTATGTATAATAGGTTTACTTCACTGTGTATCTGAACTTGCAAAAATTATGTCCTGAAATACTGTTCACAGTTGCCTCAATAAAGCAATTCATCACTAAGATTCAACTATTGATGATAATGTGTCAGTGAGGAAAATGGGCAAGATGAGCAACTGAATAATATGTGGCTGCAATCGAAAAATAAATTTCATAAAACTCCATAAATTTAATTTTGTCGTAATTAGCTGTGATTTCTTTTGGCTAGAAACAAAATAAGCTGCATTAGTTTGAATATCCTACATGTTATTTTGCCTTAAAACACCTGCAAGCTAGTTAACCTCTTTTTCATTTGTGACGTTTGAATGGTTAGGGTAGCATTTTCTTTTGCCTATTATTATTACTATTAATCGTGTCAAAACTAAAATTTTAAAGATTAAAAAAAGTACCAAATGGCCTTTGACAGAAAAGAAAATGAACTTTTCTAGTTCATGATATATGTGATGAAATTCAAAGAAATGTTAAATGAAAATTATGTGATTGAAGTCTTAATTACGATGGCAATGCCCCAATCAGTAAATGGGAAAATTAATGTAAAGATTTTAAACCCAAAAAATATTGCCATCAAGCAGCGATAGTGAAAAAAGAGATATAGAGGAGCTGCAAATGAAATGCTATAAATTTGCTGTTTACTGGAGATTCTTGACACAGTAAATACAGGACTTGGAAAAGTAGAACTTCATTATTATAAAGGAAGTTAGATCTGCATATAAAATTAAACAGGGAAAATAAACAGAAAAGACGAAATTTTTAAACAACATTTGTTGAAAAATTCTCATAAGTGTTTCATTATTTCACAAATGACCATTTCATGTTTTTAATTTCATAATTTCTTTGTTTCAGCTTACTAGCTTTAAAATAATGGTTTAAAATTTGGAAATTGCAAAATAGAGTAGTTGCAGATTGTCCATTGCTCTGGTAGCTCCAAACTCAGATAGTAATTGAGAACAGCACCCTTGACATACTTCCAGCTTTATCTGTAGAAAATTTGTTTATTTGACTATATCAAAGCATATCGAAACATGAGTGATCTGCCTGAGAGGAAGTATGCCTTTGTGGAGGATTTTCTGAGAAAAATTGGTTTATAGTGAATTTACATATTTGGAAAACCACAAATACCAGGGCGATTTGTTTGGGCACTGAGATTTAAATTTGGGTCGAACAACAGTGTTTAATGATTTTAATCTCTTGGTCATTTGTTGACCTGTCATTAAGAAGAAACTGTTATGTAAACATCGTTATGCATATATGCTACATTTGCAGTTTTTTATGCATGATTTAAATCTATCTAATGATTTACCCCCTTTTCTTGCTATCATATTTTTTTTTGTTCGATTTTATATGTGTTTAAAAATGCATATTTTTTTTAAAGAATGAGCAGTTTTGAAAATTTCATCTTATTTATTAATTCTTTAAGGCATTTTAATTTATGTAATGAACATTTTCTTTGCATTATATGTTTTTTATTGCTTTTATTGTTTGTAGGTGTTCATCTAAATGAAATCTTTTCTATTGAACTTGTTGGTGGCACTACCAGAATGCCAGCTGTGAAAAGTATTATTAAAAGGGTTTTTGGAAAAGAACCAAGTACAACATTAAATTTGGATGAAGCAGTTGCTCGAGGGTGTGCTCTTCAAGTAAATGATTATACTGTACACATTATCTTACATATAAATACTGGTTTATGTGCTGACTTTAAAATTGTTAAATATTTTATAAGCTATTGATGTCCGTCAGAGTTTTATGGCCATACATGAAAGAATTTTAGATAAGCATTTATATATATAAATATATTAGCAATATATATTTATATTATAATTGAAATACATTGAAATGGTTCATCGGCTAATTCTGGATACAGCAAGGATTTTTGTAGAAGAGAGATTTCAATTAGTTTCAAAGTTCCTCCCCCCTGATGAGGTGACATTGAGATTAATTGAATTCCTCTTCCATTTTTTGTTCATTTTTCTTTAAATTTCATGGTTTTTGAAAAGTGCTTGGCTTGTTTGAAATGTTTTGGTTTTAACGTTTTCAAATTCATTGTTGCATTTATATGTTTATATGAAATTTATTAATTATGAATTTCAATTTCTGATCTTTGTGAAATGTTAGTTCTAAATTTCTTACTTTATGTCTTTAATGATAATTTTTCTGCAACTTAATGCATGAAAATAACTTGGCGTGTTTGTGTTTTGTTTTCAAAAGAATTGTTTTGTAATTATATATATATATACAGAAGTGCGTGAAACTTTAGCAAATTTTCTGATTTTGGTTGTAATTTTGCAAAAAATAACTCAGAGACATGAAATTCATACTACAGACAGAAGCACGATATAGTAGTTAAAGGTTAGCAAAATAATATATTAGCAAAAAAATGAACAGGATGCATACAACACAGCATAAACAGAAACAGACTTTATTTACAGAATGCCATTGCTACAAATAACTGACCAGCCGAGAAGGAGAATAATAAACCAAAGTGGAATTATAGTAAGGAATATATGACCTCTCCTAACTGCAGTGATTGTGTTGCACAATTTGTCAATAATCAACACCAAAGCAATTCTTGGGGTAAGACTTCCCATTCTTCAAAGAGCATCTATTTCACTTTGCCTGATTTTCTGTGTGTAGGATAAGAACGTGCAATCAGGTGTCTCCCTAAATTATGCCATACATGTTCAATAGAATTTATATCAGCCGAGCCCACACATGTTTAATAGAATTTAAATTAGGGGAGCATGCTGGATGGTCCATTCTGTGGATATCTTCGCTGTCCAGGAGCTCCTCAACAGCTTGTGTCCTGTGTGGATATGCGTTGTCATTCATAAAAACAGTTAGGACTACTGATACCCTGGAAGAGATGCACATGGGGGAGGATAACTTCATCACAGTAATGATTTGCAGTAAATGAATCTCTCGAAAATGTAGAGCACCATCCATCCATTCATCGTTAATGCCTCCCCAGGCAAGCACACTTGGACCACCCCAACAGTCTGTTTCTCTGATGTTAGTGCAATGAAAGCATGGCCATATCAACTGGTGCCAAGAATAGTTTTTCAGGCCAAAACAATTTTCTTATCTGTAAAAAAGATGTGATTGCATTGAAGAAGTGTCCAGTCTTTGGGTTCTCTATACCATTGTACACTGTGTGTGATATGCTGCTGTCAGTAGTACACATTATTCAAAATAGTGGGCAAATATGCCACCTTAATGCCCATGGTAAACCTAGAAGCAACTGTTGTCTGGTTGTCATATGCAACTGCTGAGCATTGTTGCCCGCTGTCTGGTTTCTGTATTTTTTCACCAGCTGGGCAATATATTGATCATCAGTCACCTTCGTTTTCCTTGGCCAACCACCACCAACCTTTCTTATAACTGTCTTTTCAGAAGGCTTCTTAAGTTCCTGAAGCAATACTTTCATCAATTCCAAGCTCTTGGAGGACAGACATCAAACTGTGCTTCTCATCAAGCTTGCAAATCATTTTCTATGTGTAAAGGGATCTTGATGTATTCTTATAGCCATATTGCATATACAGTCTCACTTTTTCTCAATAACAATATCAATCTCACATGTAGGGTCCCCCCCCCCCATTTACACACACATACATGTTTCGAGAGCATTTGGGCAAAAAATATTTAAAAACAGCATATTGTTAGAATTTCCAATGGATAGTTTCATGCCTGAAGATAAGTGTTTTTTAAATACAGTGTTGCCATTGTTCACTTTGAAATCATTGAATTTGTTAATCAAAATTTCATTAAAGTTTTACAAAATATGAAATTGGCAATAAAAAAATTCCAAATTCAGTCTTCCGGGTGCCCATACTTGGATGGAGAACTACATTATTTAAAATTTGATGGTTCTAGTCCCATTGTTTATTAACAGTGCAAGAAACACTAACATTCATGCAGATTTTTCATTATTTAATTTCTTTAAATATAATACAAGGTGATAATATTTGGTGGCAATAATGTGAAAAGTGAAGGCAAAATGCTGTTTCAAGGCTAATAGTCCTTTTTAGCTAATAAAGATAAATTATATTAATTTGTTAAAAATCTATTCCATATTTAATTCAGAGCAAACCATATGAAATGAAACCATTACACCATATACACAAAAATAGGCGGAGCATAGTGGTACATTAGTGTAAAATCAAAAATGAAGAAGGAATAATGTAATTTACATCTTTCACTACATCATCATCCGGAGTTGGTGTAACAAAAGAAGTAAAAAAAATAAGCCTGTTTCTGAACTAACAAAAATAAATAATTAGAGTTTAATTCTTAATCTTAAAAATTTAATCAAAGTAAATCGTGTTTTTAAACGTTCACCCTGTACAAAGTAATTAATGCAAAATAATTGAAAAATTATAGCTTCAAAACTGGAAACAGGCTTGAAAACTTAAAATATTTTTCTTTTTGCACTGACAGAATCCAAAAAACAAACCATGTAAACACAATCTGTCCAACACATGGGGGGGGGGATAACAAGAAAATTTGATACCATATAAGGCCAGAGTAAGTAGTGCAAGAAATTACAAAAAAAACGTAAACAGGCTTAAAATAAATTAAAATAAAAATACAAAAATGTAAAAATGTAAAAAAAAAAAAAAAAAAAGGAAAGGGGGGGGAATGAGATAAAAAGAAGAAGAGTAAGTTCATAAATCTGTAACATCCACACACACATATATATAGGGAGTAAAAATAAGTCTTCGCTATTTTTTTAAATAAAAAATTGGGCATACATTTACTATGAAAAATGGTAGGTTGTGTTTTATTCAAAGTGCTATCCATTGGTAGCCACTCCTTTTCCCCATCTTGCTGGTAACATACACATACTGTGTTGGAATAACCCTTTCTTCTTTCGGGGCTATTCACAAATCAATTCAATTTTTGGTATCTTCATATGATGTGATGTGCTGCTCAGACAGACCATGCATCATCCAAAAAAACAAAAAAAAAAACATGTAAGAAGGAGCAGTGTCTGGGGAAACACAGTGGGGAGGAGGGAGAGAAATTCTCATTTGAGTATTTCCGAGCAAGTTTTGACCTGCACAACAACATGTAGATGAATACGACACCAAGTTCTAAGTTCTTTTTAAATAAGAGGTTTATTTAAACCTTTTATCTGACTTTGTAGTTACTTTCAGACATAGCGATATTTTGGACTATTTAACTTTTACCAGATCAAGTAAAACCTCATAAAAGATACATTATCGAGAGATTGACATGTTAGGAGATAAAGCAGGCAGAAACTAGTGGAAAAATTAGTGGAAAATTGGTTTGCATAATTGAAACAAATTTCTAATTGCTAGAAAAGGTGCTTAAAGAGAAGGAAATTAATATAAATTAGCCAAAATGTCTGGGAAATCTTCTTATATTTTGTTGTGTGTTGTTGCTACCAAATATAAATGTTTTGTAGCTTTTAATGTGTAATTTTCCTAATATAGTTTAAGAATCAATGTCATAAATTACATTGTGAAATGTTATTAAGTTATGATTTTAATAGTGCTTTTTTAACAAATATTTTTAAAAAATAAATAAAATTTTATAGTGACTATGTTAATCTAAAATGACTAAGGGTATCTAACGACCAAATTTAATTATTTATAATTGACTGCTCACCGTTAAAAGTTAGCTCTGCTTATTAACACTAAAATTACGGAAATAGTCATTTTGACCATAACTTGACCATGGTCATTTTAATTGGACATAACTTTTTTAATCCTTTATAACTTTGAATTTTTTTTTTTTTTTTTTTTTTTTACTTTTAAAAAAAAACTTATGAATATTACATGATTTTTTTAGTTCATTTTAAATAATTATTTTTGACAGTATTATTGTTTATACTTAGAAATACAGCTGTTGGTCATTTTGACTGTATCCAGAAAATTATAGATTTCTCAATATTTTTTATGACTTTCTTAGCTATTTCCGGTTGGCTGATAGATAAATAAGTGTATTTTTGTAAGGAAGATTGCACAGTTCACAGAAGTGAGTGGGGAGGAGAGGAGGGGGAATAAAAACAGCTGTTTAGAATTTTTGCATGCCACGTGTCTGCGCATTTTGCTTATGTTACAAAGTTTATTTTTCAGTAGGCACAAATGTACTTTACTTCATTTGGATAGTTTTGTTGTTCTGATCTGTTTATTATGTTGTGTATATATATCATGTTTCATGTTTTTCATGTATTTATGTATCATGTTTATCATGTCGTGTAGAAAATATCTAACGAAGAAAGGGATGTTGAAAGTTGTTGAATTTTTTTGTGAAAGTCTTTTGATGATAATTTTGCTTCAGAAACTGAACTCTGATCAAGAATTTCATACCAAATCTGCATACAGTTTATCCAACAAGGACTGGATTGCTTCTGCTGAAACAAGTAAATCTGATTCGTCTAATGGAGAAACTGTTCATGAAACAGAAAAGGAACGTAAAAATTTTCTCAAAGACTGCACACTGATCCATATGCCCTTGTTTCGGATATCTGAAATGCTTTTATAGAAAACTGCTTAAAATGTTATAAACCATGTGAAACTATAACAGTAAATGAACAATTATTTCCCATGAAGACCGATGCCGATTTATTCGGAATATGCCAAAAAAGCCTGACGAATTCGGCATTAAATTTTAACTTGCTACTGATGTGCAGTCAAAATATTTACTGAACGAATTTCCCTATTTGGGAAAAGAAGAAACAAGACCAGCTGGAGAAAGATTAGGTGAACATGCAGCTTTTCACTTGATGGAACCGCTGATATTAGTAAAAGAAATAAAGAATTCAGGGATAAGCTACATTGGCACAATAAATTGTTCAAAAAGAGAAGTACCTTACTCTTTTAAAAATATGAGGAATGAGTTCAGTTTTAGTAAGATTGCTAAGCATGACAATATAATGCTTAGGTCTTTTTTGGGGGGGGACAAGAACATCCTGCTCCTGAGTACCATGCTCCCAACATTGGAAAATGCATCTGATGAAAAACAATACACAGGAAATTGTGAGTTTTAACAATTCAACCAAGTACGGAGTTGATGTTTTAGATCCAATGGCCAGAAAATACTCAGTGAAATCCTCATCCAGCCATTGGTCAGTTCAAAGTTTTTTTTTAATATTCTTAATTTTGCCGTGATTAGAATATTGGCCCTTGTTATTTTCTTTTGAATACGACTGAGAAGCTTTGAAAGATATACATTTCATCCGAAATTCATAAACTTCCCGTATGTAATGAAAAGAAAAGTGGCACTTTCGTCAACCTTTCCTGTAAGCATAAACAGTGCCAAATAAATGCATGCAGAGGCAACAAAACTTTGAAAATACGTGTGAATACTGTAAAAACATTTGTTAAATGATAAGAAGTTTAAAAATATCTAGAGTGATTTTTCTTCTATTTTAGCTCATTATATTAAATTATCCATCGATTAATGCATTTACTCTACTATATTTTGCTTTTTGTTACATTAAATTATCTTTTGATTGCATGTATTTAATCAGTTTATTTTATTTACTTATTAAACAAGCAAATATCGCAAATATCGTTATAAGCATTAAATTTGCTTAATATTAGCAAAATGCGAGCCTTTTCTCTATTCGAAACAAGTGGTCAAAATGGCCACTGATTGTAGTTATAGATATACAGAAAACATCGTAATGCTAAAGTGAATTTTTGCCTTTCATTAATCCTGCGGTCACAAGATACAGCACAAAAATGTAAAATTAATGCAAAACTTATTCTTTGCGTTTAGTAAGACTTAAAATAATGCAAAACTACTTATAACCTCTTGTGCTTTTTGTAGCTTATTGGAATCTTAAAGTTATTAACTGGGTTACAACCCCAGGAATTCTGCACAAAGCTATGACACTAACTGCATCAGATATACAGCAGAGCACAACTAACTTTCAAAACTTGCCAACCATGCCTACATCAGTATTTCAGATTTGTTCAGGTCCTGCCTAGAGAGAAGGCAAGCAGCAGTGGTGGCAACAGCCAGTATTCTGTTACGAAGCATACTGATTATGATTTTATTTCTCATTTTAACTTATGTCATTTGTCACAAAATAAATCTACCTGCTATTTACTATAACTCTACACTGAGCATATACATGACAAAAATCAACGTAAAGCTAACAGTTATTTAAACATAAATAAAATGTTGCTAATCTTCTTTCAAATATATCCAACTATTATAAGTAAAATATTTAGTGCTACTTAATAAATTTTATAAAGTTGATTTTACTTTCTAATTTATTTTATAATTCTGCTTATTAAATTAGGTTTAATAATAATGCATCCTACTTACAGATCTATTTTATTCTTAGAATTGTATTACAGATGTGAAGTTCAGGCATCGATAAGATCTTTTATTGAATTCATTCAATTTCCATTTGTTCATACGTCTTTATTTTTTTTCTTTAATGGTCCGTAAAAGCACCTAACTTCCATGTGCAAAAATGTGTACGAACCCTGTGTACACATTTAATCATTCTATGTCAACCTTGGCAGGCAATGATGAACTAAATTATTGATGTTTCATTAGAAATCAATAGTTCTTTATAGGGTGTTGACCCATTCATCCATGATATTCTCACAGAAGACCCTTGATGCAAATGCAGTTGAGACCCCAGTGTTAATGTCACTTGAAATATAAAATAACCCATCTGTTTTGATGCAAAAATGTATCCATAGTTAGTGTCTAAGGTTTCATTATTTACCTGCTTTCAATAGGAATAAATTTTTGGGAAGTGCAGATGTTCACCGATTTGTAACATGTATGTTGTTTGGGTAGTTTAATGTGCTTGGGATTGAACAGAGTAAAATTAATATGAATGAGATACTCTTTCCATTGCAGTTTTTTATGGTATACCAGTGGTACTCAACCTTTTATTGCCTTTTATATCACTTTTACTATTGCTAGAAGATGATTCCTCTGCCCAAAACTCAAAAAGTGCATGTACATTTTTTTAGAGTTAGATGAATTTTTAACAGCACAGCAAGAAGTAGGTGGAGTACAGTCTATTCACATTCCCCCCCCCTTGATAAAGAAACCCTTTCATATTCCCCATTATAACATTTTGTAATTTAATTTATTCAAATTTCCTAATTGCAGCCATAATTAGATCAAAATCATTTATTTTTACTATTGATGAATTGATACTCTTAGATATTCATGATTCGTTGAGATTTTAAATTTAGGTATACTAGACAGATCTGTCAGACATCAAAACTGATGATTATGAGGCCTAAAGAAAAGCTTCCTAAAAGTGAAGCACTTTCCTGTTTTTTCTTACTTTTTTACTATCGTGTAGTATAAATTAATTTAATTAATATTCAGTACTCTCTTAAAAAAAGATGAATGCAGTAAATTAATATAATTGTTCAGTAAGTGATTTATTATGCATTATAATAAAAATTATTTTTATTTCCTGTAATAAAATATATGTAGACATAAAATTTTTATCTGCTGCAGGCTGCTATGCTGTCTCCAACAGTAAAAGTCAAAGAATATGGTATTACAGATGTGCAACCTTTTTCAATAAAGTTGGCTTGGAACATATCCAAAAATGAACGTGGGTATGTTTTTTAACTTTGTTTTCAAAAAGCAGATATTTCTTTCTTAATTTATTTAGATCATGACTGTCTAACCTTTCAAAGCTTTCAATTCATGTTTCAGATATCGGAAAACAAAGGTGAAATTTTCCAATTAACAGATTTTTTAAAGGAATGTGAAGAAGCAGTAATGAATGAAGAGGATATAAAAGAAGTTTTTCATTGTGATGACAATGCGTCTCAATCATCAATCAAATAATGAATGGTGAAAATCTGTAGTATGATTCTCTATCCAGAAAGTACCGCTACCGATAGTGAAGAAATGACAGAGAAATTAACTGAAAACGAGAAAATTTAGATCGACAAGTTAGTCAGGAATTATCGAAACAGCAGTTACAGGGCTTCAACAATTGTAACTAAACAAGAGATTATATCTGTCTACAGAATTAAAAAGAAAGTATTAGCACAAAAAACGAAGCAATGTGCATTGAAAGAAATGTTTAGTAAGGTAAATTCCAATTAACAGATTTTTTAAAGGAATGTGGAGAAGCAGTAATGAATGAAGAGGATATAAAAGAAGTTTTTCATTGTGATGACAATGCGTCTCAATCATCAATCAAATAATGAATGGTGAAATCTGTAGTATGATTCTATATCCAGAAAGTATATTTACCGATAGTGAAGAAAGTGACAGAGATGTTACTGAAAACGAGAAAATTTAGATTGACAAGTTAGTCGGAATTCTCTAAATAGCAGTTACTGGGCTTCAACATTGTAACTAAACAAGAGATTATATCTGTCTACAGAATTAAAAAGAAAGTATTAGCACAAAAAACGAAGCAATGTGCATTGAAAGAAATGTTTAGTAAGGTAAACAAATAAATATTAAGCTGCCCCCTCCCTTTTTTTTTTTTTAAATTTTGATATTCTTTAGATCATAAGTACTTCATTATTTCATAAATCACGATTTTATATTTTTAATTTTATAATTTCTACATGCCATCTTGCTGGATTTAAATTGATGATCTATTATCCGGAAAAATCCTAAATTCGAAATCCCTGAAGTCCCGACGACTCCAGATTTCGGACTTTGTACGGCATTGAGATGCGCATGCAGACTGAACAATAACCATGAAAATCTGTTGTAACTAATGATATCTAACTACACAATTTAATAATTTGTAAATAACTGCTTACCCTTAAAAGTTATCTCCACATGTTATGGCAATTTATCACCTTTTCTTAATCCTTATTGTGGATGTAAGATACAACACAAAATTTTAAAAATTAACATAAAACTTTATTCCTTACGGCTTACGGCATAAAATACTACAAAAAATAACATATCACCTCTGGTATAATGTCAGGCATTTACGTCTTATCTGATCAGTGGCTGTCTGTCTCTAAGCAAGCAGCTGGAGGCAATAAACAAGCTTCATTTTTGAGTTGTGCTGATTATTATTTTACTTCTCAATTTAACTTATACCAGACATAAAATCTGCATAAGCCTATTGAACTGAGCTAGTATATGGACGAAATGAGACATAAAAGAAAAAATCAAATATGAAGCTAAATGTAAATAAGTCACTAATCTTTTTTAAGTTTAAAATATAAATGTTTCAAGAAATTTTATAATTTAATGATAATTACTTGAAAATAATATGAAGTTGATTTTATTCTTGAATTTGTTGTATAATTAAGTTAAATATTACATTAGGTTTAATAATAATGCATCCTACTTGTATATTTATTTTATTCTTACAAATTACAACAGCAACGTTCAGGTGTAGATAATTTAGTTTATTCAGTTCCTTTTGCTGATAAGTCCTTAATTTTTTTCATTGATTATCCTTAAAAGTACTTTTTTTTCCACATGCAGAAATGTGTGCAAACCTGTGTGATAATTAAAAAAGTAAAAATAAATGTCAGTTTTGCTTTGGAAAAGTTCCAATGTTATTAGAGTACAAAGTTCGAGATCCAGACATACAATATCCAGTATGATCTGAAATCTGGACATCAAAGCCACCACCAATTTTTTTTTTTTTTTTTTTTTAAGCTTTATGTGTGCACATTTGAATCCCTCACCCCAATGTAAGAAAACATGCGGAGTGTCCAGATTCTTAATTTCTCTTTGGCAAAATACCTCGTTATTGAAGAAACAATCGCTTTAGCATAAATTTGTGTGATCAATAATTTGACTCTGTCGCTGCATATCTACTTGGCATGCATCTCAAACTGAAATATTGTACATAGAATCGTTGATTTTACAACTACTAATATTTTATATCCCTGACACCAACCCAGTGAATCTATTTGGCTTTCATTGCCGCATGTTTAGCAGCACATTACTTCTTTTAGATCATAACTACAAAGTCCGATTTCCGGATTTGGGATTTTTCCAGATATTAGATCATCAGTTTAAATCTAGTAAGATGCTATGTAGAAATTATAAAATAAAAATATGAAATTGTGATTTATGAAATAATGAAGTATTTATGATCTAAAGGGTAGCAAAATTTACAAAAAAACCTTAATTTTTATTTGTTTACCTCATTAAACATTTCTTTCAATGTAAGTTGTGTAATTATCTTTTTTTTTTTTTTTTTTTGTGCTAATACTTTCTCTTTAATTCTGTAGACAGACATAATCTCTTGTTTAGTTACATTGCTTAAGTCCAGTAACTGTTATTTTGAGAATTCCGACTACCTTAAAATCGAAATTTTAAGGTAGTCGGAATTCTCTTCCTTCTTAATCGAAATTTTCTTGTTTTTAGTAACATCTCTGTCACTTTCTTCACTATCGGTAAATATATTTTCTGGATATAGAACCACACTACAGATTTCACCATTCATTGATTGATGATTGAGATGCATTGTCATCACAATAAAAAACTTCTTTTGTATTATCTCCATTTATTACCGCTTCTCCACATTTCCGTTAATTGGAAAAATTTTACCTTTGTTTTGCGATATCTGTAAACCTTTAAAATTAGCGGCTATCATCATCAAATTTAGCTATTCTTGACTATACATATTTCGTTATGCATCATGAGCTTGGTGACTAACAACTAGTTGTTCCGTTAAATTTTATCTTGCTTCTATTGTGCACTGAGACAATTAAGCCTGAATTGCATTAGTTTAGTTATATTTTATATATATGTCTATTTCTTGCACTTGCTTAAGGCTTATCAGAGTTCTGAATAAATAAATTCCCACCATGTACTTAAGCCTTATTGAGGGCCGGCGCTAGATATCTTACCACCTGATACAGTCTCAGTAGGTCCTAAATTCTGCGATTCGATACGGCCATATGAGCCTTGGCGCTGGTTCTGGGTTTATGTGAATAATAAATCAATTATTCTTAATTCAAATATCCCTAAATGTAATCTTTGGGCCTATGAGTATCATCAACAAAATCTATTTTTAGCATACGGAAAGAAATTTTTTGTAAATTTTTCCTTGTCAACATTTTTTTAGCACATTTAATTTAAATCTGTAATGATCATCAAGTGTAATGTCAGCATAAAAAGTTACCATTCTCCTTTATTATTCAATTATTAGCATAAAAATTGTTAGTTTATACATTGAGTCATTACTCAAGTTGTCATGTTTTAATAAACGTCGTGATGAAAGGAAAATATAGTAAATAATGATTCGCCAGGTTGGCGTCAGATCAACAATATATTTATGTAGAATGTTTCAGTTTTAGATATATGCCAACAGATACGCAGCAATGAAACCAAATTACTGATCGTACAAATTTATGCTAAAATGATTGTTTCTGCAATAACAAAGTATTTTATTTAGTGTCGAAGTGAAATTAAGAATCAGAACTCTCCAAATGTTTTATTAAGCAATAAATCAAATGCTCATGCATAAAGCCTATGAGAAAACGTTGTTGGTGGTTTTGGGATCCGGATTTGACATCAATCTGGATAATGGACGTCCAGATTTTAGACTTTGTACTGTATTTCATTATTTCATAAAACACGATTTCAAATTTGTAATGTTATAATTTCTACATGCCATCTTAGTATGTTTAAAGTGATGATCTAATATTTCATTCTCATCATAAAGGAAAAAATTACATTTTTAAGTATTTTGCTAAGCAGTATGCACTGAACTTGTGTAAATGAAATAAATGCTTTTTTAAACTCATTTTTTAAGAAATAACAATTGAAACTATTTCATATTTGTTATTTGATTTTCAAAACTGTTGGTTAATTTTATTTTGAAAAAAAAAAAAAAAACTAATTGGATATGAATAGCAAATTAATATTTTCTAAAAGTTTGCTTTTGTGTTGTATTATAGGGATCTTGAAGTTTTTCCACGTAATCACCCAGTCCCTTTTTCAAAACTGCTTACATTCTTTATAAGAGAAGATTTTACGTTGGATACATATTATAGTGGTGGGAAAGATAGAAGTGCTTCAGATGTTCTTATTGGTAACTTTAAAATATATATTTTAAAAATAATAATAATAAATAAAATAAAATAAAATAATAAATATATAATATATTAAATATATAATATATATTTAAAATATATAATATATATTTTTAATAGATAAAATATGGCTTGGCTTACTAATAGTATAGTATTAATATAGTTTTGAATAATCCTCTGTGTAAATAAAGAGCATCATTGTTAATAATTCAGAATATGTGTGTAAATGTTCCTTCTGTAACTATTCTGTGTATTGGTTTATATTCTTTCTAATGCTTATGTGTATGGTGTTATGGTGTGGATTCTGTATTTTGAAAGGGTTAGAGTGGTTCATTCTCTACAGGCATTGACTGTATGAAAACTTTTCTGTTGTGGACTTAACAGTAAAATTTCAACCATGCATAGTAAATCTGATTCATAAATTTTATTTTATAATCTGCTCCCACCCCAAGTATTTAATCTTCTGCCATATCTTTATGTTCTGCTGAAAGTTTTTGCTTTATATGCATTTAATGTTTGTTTTTAATAGTTTTTTAAATCCCAAAATTTAATTACTTAAATTGGCTAAAAAATTTAATTTTTACTTTTCAGAGCATTTGATTAAAACCATGTAACTGAAAAAGTTTTTTTTAATATATATTTTACTATATTCAGACATCAAGCACTATAATTTAATTTATTATATTGACTAATAAAAGGTCTTTTCTGCTAATATAATGTTTTTTTCTAATAAAATCACCTATGTGAAACTCATCACGATTTTGTGTAATTTACACTTTGTTGGTATCAAAAGGTATGTATGTCCTTTCATTTTTAAGGAAAGAAAATTTTTAATGGTAAAATGCCATCTTTAAGTAAAAAAAAAAAAGACTTTCTGTTTGAAGTGCAGGGTTTTATCATAGGTCAATTATAAATCTATTATGTAATTTGTTTTATGCACATTATAATAAGTAATACCCATTTTAAATAAAAAAAGAGAAGTTAGCAAAAAAAATAAACTGAAGGATATTACATTTTCTAATTTAAATTAGTTTCACTTATCCCTGTGGTTTATATTATAAGTGTGAAAGAGAATTATGAATTCAAATGTGTCTTCAGAATTGGAATGAATCCCATTAATGTAATCTCTGTGTTGATGCAAAGATTATTGCATTGCAGATATGTTGCTAATAGGCCTTACCAGATACTGTTATTTTTTATGTGAACTAGCCACTTGCTTGGCCTGCTGTGTCAAATTAAAGGAAAGAAAATATACATAATAAGTACATGTTATAATAATAATGGGGATGCAATACTGCATTTATTGCTTTTAAATTGCTTAGTTTGCTGATTATTAAGACACACTAAATCTCAAAGAAAAATTAAAAATCTGACATTTTTCCAAATGGCAGCAGACTGACATGTGATGGATAAAAATAAATTGTTTTTAGTGGCAACATAATTCTTTTAAATTATTGCATTTTCTGATTAAATATGAAACAAATACCTCGTGCTTTAGCAATTGCTAACGCATTACTTTTAAGTCACTGAGTTCATTAACTGAAATTTCATTAAATTCTCACAAAACATAAAAGAAATAAAAAGCAAATTCAAAATTTGGTCTTGTGCACTTGCTAGATGGAAGATTATATGTGTACATTTGATTGCTGTAAATGCTGTGATTTTTCCACAATGTGAGGGACATATATACACTGCCTGGCATAATAAATGCAACATCACATACATTTGGCCATATAAATATGCGAATTTTGAGAAATGCATAGCATAACTAGTCATGCAGACAATGCAAGGTGGTCATGTGGGTGTGCAAGTAACTATTATTGCACGAGAGGAAATGGTGGATGAATCAACATTTGCTATTCTCTGCTGCTGAGGAAATCCAGACTATTGAGAAATTTAATGCTTCAGAAGATATGTGTAAATGAAGAGCTGCTTGTGTCTGTCTTATTGTCGTATTACTGCTGAAATGAATGTAGATGTATCCACTGTGCATAGAATTTGGTCCGGATGGATCGTTGAAGGAAATGTAAATGGTCATGAAAGACTTGGACCATCTAGACATACTAGCGAATGCACCATGTCAGGTCAACACAAACAAATAGAAGCAATGGTGGTCCCACAGTCAACTACTATGGACATTTTATGGAATGTGCAGGGAGCTTTGGATTTTCTAATGTCTGGGAGAATGATTTCACAAAGTTTGGCTAAAAAGCAGTTTCCCACCAAGCTGCCGTTTGCGAAGACTGCCATTAATGCCAAACCATCAGTGCAAAAAACTGCAGTGGTGTCTTGAACAAGCCACTTGGTCATCTGAATGCACAATTCATTGGCAAGTCTCTGTTTTGTTTGTCTGACCATAGTCAATGGTTAATAGCTTTTGAGCATCAGGGAGATAGAACCAATCTTGAATGCTGTATCTGATCACCACACCACTCATCAGTATGGTATAATGGTTTGGGGTGCTATTAGTTACGTAGGCAGATGGCGTAGACAGTTCCAGCAAATGGATGGTTTCACAAAGTTTGGCTAAAAAGCAGTTTCTCCACAAGCTGTCGTTTGTGAAGACTGCCATTAATGCCAAACCATCAATGCAAAAAACTTCAATGGTGTCTTCAACAAGCCACTTGGTCATCTGAATGCACAATTCATTGGCAAGTCTCTGTTTTATTTGTATGAAAATAGTCAATTCTTAATAGCCTGGAAGCATCAGGGAGATAGAACCAATCTGACTGCTATTGCTGATCAGATAGAACCAATTTGACTGCTATTGATGATATGTTGATGAGGTGCTGCAACTGGTTGTGTTACCTTATCGTCAGTTGCTCCAAAATAGTATTTTCCACCAATACAGCACAACATCACATTCAACATTTATTAACCAGCAAGCTTTGTAGCATGTCCTATTGTTTCCTTGGTCTTTGATGTCCCTTGACGTTTTTTATGATATCTGGGACATGATTGGTCATTGTTTGTCTGCTCTGCTTCAGCTGTTATCTGGGGATGAACTTTGGAGGAGGGTTCAGAACATAGGGGCTTTCATTCTTCAGGACATTATCGGCATACTAATTTAATCTATACCTCGATGGGTTGCGGCTTGCATCGCTGTGAGAGGTGGCTATACATCTTACTAATTACCTATATATTTCAGCATTCTAAAAATATATCTTCCTATAAATAGCACACATTAACATATTGTTTACAGTATTACGTACTCTGTCTGTGTATCAATTGACATTAATTACCTAGTCTTTCATGATGGTGCATTTTGTATGTCGACCAGTGTATATATAGATTCTTCATTATTTAAAAAGAGAAATGGATCAAAAGAATAAGAGATAGCAACTATATCTTATGAAAGTACCTTTCTGAGAAAATGCTGTATGTAAGAAATGTATATGACATGAAATGAATAAATGTATATCGACATGAACGTTAATGAAGAAGATTTAATTACCATAACTTTTAATGAATTTGCATTTTATTAAAGCTGCAGGAAAGATAAATTATCTTGTTGAAATGTAATAAATAATAATATAAATAAATTATTCTTGTTTGAGAATTTCATGGCCAGTTTAATCATTAACTGCCAAATTTCCCCTTCAATATAGTTTCTTTTTCGTATGTAAACAAACATAGTGCACTAAATTTAACATTACTGAAAATAAATATGTGATTTTTATTGATTTAAAAAGTAATTGGGGATTACTGCACGTTACATATAAATACTGTGTACAAGTAATTTTCTCTTACGAATGGCCATATGATTACACATTCTACATGTAAATTGAACATCAATAACACTTTACATATTGTTTCTGAACTTTTTTTTTTAAACAAACTGCCCATTTTCACTTGATCGTCTGATGTTCTTTCCAGATAATGTCCAGAATTTTACCTCATGTCTTCTGGTACACAGTTGTGAGAACTCACACTGTAGTATGGTCTTCCTGTATTTTTTGGGTCAGACAAAGCATGTGAATTCAAATAGTGCCTTGCAACTACTCCTCTGAAATTTAATGAAGGCATTTTTTTCATTAGTAATGCAGTATATTGTATGAGTATCAATTAGGGTCATATCCACTCTATTAGTAAAAATAGAAAACTAACTATTTCTTGCTTCTAATTTTTATGCTATGTTTTATGTATTCCAATCAGGCTTATAAATACCACGTATGTTATTATTGCAATTTATAATGGCCTTAGGTTGTTGTGTAATTTTTCCTCAGTTGTAGACCATTTTCATTTACGTCCCAAAGGTAAAACTTCCAAAACCTTTGAAAACATCCTAACATGATTGTTATCTTTATGAGCACAATCAAATATTCCATCTATTTCATCATACATGTAATGAAAATCCCCTTAAAATTATTTCTTCATTTCCTTATCTGTTTTTATAGGGCATTTATCCTGTTATATTTCACCTTTCGTCTCGTAAGTATACTTCACTCTTTTAGCTTTTCTTAAAATAAAAGCTTGTGAAAAATTATCAAAATAAAAGCAGTGTTCTTCTGGTTTGTGTGTGGTTTCTAACTTATTATTATCGACATGCTTAATCCAAATTCTGAACTACTGCTTTGTTGACCTTCATATATTTCAGCATTGTAGCATATTGTTCATTGCTTGAAAACAAAGCGAATGGGCTTGCTATTAATAAATGTCTTCAAAAAATTATGACTATAATATCACACCATTGGTTTATAGGTACTCATATTATATGAAAATACTCCAGACTGCATAAATGTTTTTATTTAGTTCATCCAAAATTGGTTGTACTTTGAATAACCAGTCTTTGTTCCCATTTATTAATGATATTTTTGTATTGTCACTAAAATGTAGGTTTCTGTTTATTTCAATATAATGATTTCGTGTCATATATTTTTGTGCAATTCCAATATTAATGTCTTTTTCTTCTGGCCAATACATCTGTTGAGGTAAAGAGTAATATCCAGTTAACAGTACAAAACCCAAGAAAAATTTTTTGAAACAGTCTCCAAAGAGCATAATTTGGTGATGAAAGAATTATTTTTAAATAAATTTTCTTTTTAACTTATTATTAGAATTTTTCCTCCCCCTTAATTTATTTATCTATATATTTAGGGTCATGAAAATTTTTGCTGTGGTGAAAAGGGGTCACCAAATGGAAAAGTTTAAGAAACTATCAAGAATATATGCAATTATTCTGATACTAAATATTTGTGAAAATCATTAGTTACTTTAATTTTTTAGTTTATTTTAAAATATTTAATTAAGCTTTTTGCAATCATTATATTAGTACAGGAGTATCTACTATTTTTGAGGAAATTAAAATTTCTCTAAACTTATTTTAATATTCAAGCTTAATTGTTTGCTTTCGTGTGATATTTTTCCCTCATCTTTTGTCAAATGTGTTTTAACACATGCTTTTTTTATGTCCTAGGTTCCTTTACCATTAAGTATAATAGTCAGACACCCAGTGCTGAAAGTATCAAAATAGTAGTCAAAATACGTATTAATATTAATGGAATTTTCAGTGTTCGTTCTGCTGTTATTGTTGACAAGGATTTTAAGGAAAATATGACACTCGATCAGAAAAATGAAGACCTGTTAGATGTGAAAATCAAAACTGTAGATTCTCCTCAGGATACTGTTCTAAATGAGGTTTGTTTTTGTTATTATTATTATATGTACCCTCTTTTTTTTCCTTTTAAATAACATACAAGAAACTCTAAAATGTTATATTCCTTTTATTCTTATATGCATTAAGTAGAGTATATTAAAACTGATAGGAAGTGAATTAAAAATATATGCAATATTGATAAATAATAAATTCATTTTAAAATGTGAAATTTCTATTGGAGTATCATGATTGCTTCAGGTTTGCCATTTTTACATATTTTCTGCTGCTTATTGAATTTTCTTTGATATCTATGCCATTTTTAGTTTTACCAAGACTCCTGGTTTTTCATCACATCTCCAGGTAGATAGATCGCCAGATCTGGTTTTTAATTTTTAGCTTTTTTGAAGGAAAATGTTTCTGAGCAATAAATTAAATTTATTGAATCAATGAAACTTAAATTGTGCGAATTCCATTTGCTTACCCTAGGAATTTTCAGCATCATGCTGCTTATTAAGTTTTGTTGGATATGAATGATCTTTAATTTTTGTAGGCATTTCTTGAACATTTTATGAAGATTCAACCAATGTTTTATCAGTTAGTATTTGTATTTAGTTTTATTTTACATATGGTATATTGCTACATTTAACCATCTAATAATACATCCATTAATTATTAATTTTATTCTCATGGTATTTAAAAGTATTGGTTCATTTGGAAAGTTCGGCAGTTTTTTAAAATACAAATGAAGCAACACAAAAACATCAGAAAATTTTATTGACTCATATAAGCACACCATCTATTATTTGTTATCATATCTCCGGTAGCAGGAATATTTCTTCTTGAGGATTATTTTTAGAAAAGTTATCAAGGGAGCTGTTTGACAGACCCCAAAGAAGTGAATTCTAAAGCCAATCAGAGAATTTTTAAATGACCTGAAAATATCAAAATCCGTGGAGGTAGGAAATAAAAGGAGAGGCTCTAATTGACTCCCCATGCACTTCATGAAGCAATATACACCCCTCTTGAAGGCCAAAACATTCAGTCACTTTCCATTAATGTCAATACGTTTTGACATGATCGGAAGTAAACATTTCATAATTACCTCATAAATATACTTATAAATACATATATTTTCCTTTTCTACAGTATGTTTGAGTCCTAAGTGTCTGAAGTGTATACAAGCCAGTTTTCCTTAGAAAGTCCTCCACAAAGGCATCCATCCTCTTAGACAGATAGACCTAGTATGCTTTGCAGAAATCTCAATAAACCAAACCTCAGTATGTGAAAGAGTACATTTTTAAACATTTCATTCTGAATGTAATTAAATGCTATACTCTTCCCAGAGCAGTTTTAATTTGAATGAAATATTTTTACAAGTTTTTGTTAATTATATTGGAAAGAAATTTTAATAATAAATAAATATTAATAAATTTAATATTTATTTAACCCACGGGAAGGCACGTGGGGTGTATCATGCCCCACCCCTACATAAAAGTGGAATATTCTTAACTTTTGAAACTAAAATTTTGTGCTGCATTCAGTAGCTGAGTTTCTAGTTGTGGTTGAATTTCAGAACCGCTTTTTCTTTGCCTGTGTGTTTCAGAAAAAGATTTATCGGTATTTTGTTGGAACTGGGGTATGACACACCCCACGCGCCTGTTCGCGTAAATGTTTTTCTGACTGAATATTTAGTTCAGAAATTTATTTCTAGAGTGTAACAGTAAATATTTCTACTCACAAGTGATTTTAAAGTACTTGACGTTAAATTCTTAAAACTTTCTAACCGCATTATGGTAAAAAGAATGATTCCCTATGAATTGGAGATGCAACGCCTATGAGATTTATTAGAAATATTTGAAAGCGATGAAGATTGCATTTTGGAAACTGAAGATGAAACTAGGAATATTTTCTACACTGTTTTTGATTTCGCAAAAGATAAAACATTTATTCCTAATGTTCCTAAAAAAAGGAAAAGCTGTTCTTATGCTTTTAACATTATATAACAATCTTACTAAAGATGATACTATTGGAGAAAATAAAATATCAGGAATTATATGTTTTTATAATATGACTAATGGAGCAGTGGATATAGGGAATGAAATGTCAGCCAATTATTCAATTGACAGCATAACAAGGAGGTGGCCAGTGGTAATCGTGCACTGAATATTGCTGTAATAAATGCTTGAATTATATTACATTCAATTGCTAATCCACCAACCAGAAACAGAAGTCTGTTTTTGAAGGACTTAGTATTACAATTAATGAAAAAACGTATTGAACAAAGATCAGAGATTAATACTTTACCAAGAAACTGACGTACTGCATGCAAAACAAAATCAAAAGTTTCGACGAAGAATTAAAACGAATACATGAAATTTGAAACAACTAATTATGAAAGATGTGATAAATTGCCCTCGCGCCAAGGACAGAAGAACGTGAATGTAATGTTTAAAATGTGAAAACATTCTGTGCCAAGAACACATGAGTGTATTTCGTTCAAAGTGTAAAGAAATAAAATAAGTATTATGTATTAGAGATACAATGAAACTTAGAGGCATGATGTTTATTTTTTTATTATTTTCATTTATCTTAATTTTAACTCTAAGATTATTTTGGAAATTAAATTTTTGAAACCCAATTATTATTCACGTATTTATAATACACGAGAACAAGAAAAACAGCTTTAAAACAAAATAAAACTATTTTTATCATATTTTAAATACTGGGGTATGTGATACCCCACGCACCCACTCTAGTAACTTTTCTTGGTGCAACTTCCACTGGGTTAATATTAAAATAATAAGAAAGAGCACATTTCATAGACAGTGCTTTACAACACCTTTTAATAGATTGATTTTTCAGTACGAACAATTCTTGCTTAAATAGTTTTAGAAATATATTTGTCAACAAAATTTTAATTTTTATGTTTATAGTTGAATGTTAAGGTCAACATATTTAGATAATATTTGTAATCATTATAAATTTAGGTACATTTAATAACTAGATTTCTTCACAGTAACTTTCACTGGAGCTTATGAATGATTATAGCCTTCATTTCCAAATATATTTATAACTAATTTAATGAATATATATATGTATTCTCTCAAAAGCAAATACATGCTTTTTACAAGGTTATGCATAAATACCCATACATGTATATTTTTCAGTTTTGGTATGTGTAAGTCTGTAATTTCTGTGCATTCATTCTATTTTTTGAGTAATTTACAATAATTTAGTATATATACATTTTTTTACATTAAAAATGTGTAAAAACTGAATAAAAATTACATTCATTATTTTTAATATTCACTTAAAAGTCAGTTTTCCTTCAAAATTCCTCCACGGATTCTTAGGCAGATAGATCTTGCATACTTTACCCTATTTAAAAAACTTAACTTGACCTGCATGCCTTATTACAAATATTTTAACATGCAGATAATTTTATATTTACATTTAGTCATCAAGTTTCAAACTTTTGACTTAAAACATGTTTTTAAATACATTCATTAAAAAATTAAATTTTCTAGCAAATATATTTTGGCAGAGCATTCAGTTTTACCCAGTTTAGTAGTTCTCCAATAATTCAGTAAATAATAGTTATCCATTTTGCTTTTTAAACCTTAACATCATTGCCATCAGATCACAATCTTGATTCCTTTACTCTGCATACCAACATTGCTTCATTTTTTTAAACAGTTAAAAACAAATAATTGATCTAAATTTACTAATATTGAAATTTGCATATTGCATGGTAATCCAAAATGTATTCATGTACCAGTTAATAGCATTTACATCATCATATTTTCAAATTCCTAATAAGCTGTCATGATGATATGGCATGTTCACATGGTCACATCACCTTGACTGCACATGGCACTTTTGCCAAATTGGGAAATGTTTCTGTGTACAATGTTACACAAATATATGCTTACAAATGATGGAAAAGTTGACCTGTTAGCATACCTGTCTATATACATTTATTAATTTCAACAAGATTTGCAGGATTTAGGAGTAATTTCATTTTTCATTTAAGGTGAATAAAACACAAAATGATTATTTTTCAATTATATAAAAATAAAATGAGTTTAAAGTGATCAACTATTTATTATGCCTTTCCTCTAAAAAATTTTAAAAAGTGCATATTACAGTATTGTATGGAAAATATTTTTTTTTTTTTTTTTTTTTTTTTTTTTTTTTTTTTTTTTTGTTTAAAAAACATTTTGATATTTTGAACATAAAAGAAAAGTAAGAAATACTCTATCAAGGGCATTGAAAGAAGTGTACAAATTTTTATGCTTTTACCAGTTAGTTATAAGGAAATTGAGTTTTAAAGTGTGTTATGTTTTTGCAATATTTTAAAGGTATCTTAACCCCTTCGCGCCGACTGTCACGTATACGTGCCAGCAACGAACGCACTTACCTATTGGCCGACACGCAGGCGTGCCAGAGGATTGTTCCATTCTCTACCGACTGTCACGTATTTGTGCCAGAACTTTGGGACGTTTTTCAAACTATAATTTCTGCCACAAGATGGCACTGTATGTCCATATGGTTTCAGATACATGTAAATTAGACCTTCTACTCGAAATGAGAGAAGCATGACTCACATACACGTGTTTTTGATTATATAAACAAACGGGGAAATAAATGTTTCCGAATGGTGTGATTTATGACGTCTCTTTAAATCGCACGTGGTAGTTGTTTACTGTAAGTAGAGAAGTTTTATTTGCTCTAAAGCGTTGGGTATTTCGGTTTGCAGTTCAGTTTTTAGAAAATAATTAGATCTTGTTAGACGTGAATTCTTTGTTTTTACCATTGCAATGTCGAAGTGTCGAAAATGTTTAACAGAGCATGAAATAGCAGAAATGATGCAAAATATTTCAGATATTGATTCTGATATTCTGATATTGATTCTGAAAGATTAACTGAAAGACATTTTCCAAAACTGTTCAGAAGAGACTGATAAGAAAATGAGACGACGATGCTTCGTTTGTTCACATTCCCGGAAAAATCCTCCAAAACGGCAAATGGCAAATGAGTT